AGTTCGATACAGATAGTTCATTCACCGCAAAATAAATTATTACAATTAAACAAACTTAAATTAAAATAATTCCTTTACAACCTGTAGTTCTCGCTCAGACGACCTAGGCATAACCACCTTCCTTAACACCTTAAAACCAATATTTCTGCTTCCAATCGTTCACGACTCAATCCAACACTACCAATAACCAAAACCTTACCCTTAACCTTAGCAAGTTAGCCACCCTTAGAATATATAGATTTAATATTAATGTAAGATTATGCTATAAATAAAGTTGAGTTAAAGTGAAGAAAAGAAGTGAAACATAAATCTAGTTTATATGTAAAAAAACAACTCACTCATCGTTATTTACACTTTGTTAATATATTAAATTAAGCAGTTCTAATTGGTATGTATACTAAGCGTTTCAATTGGTTTAAATAAATTAGATTCTACAAAAGTTAATTAGTTAAATTCTAAATTATAACAGTGGTTGTGAAAGGTGGCAACAATGAAGTTGGAGAGGAAGCTTAGCTCGGAGGAGTAAAGCATGTAGTATTAGTAGTTAAGCAGTAGTTTAAGTGGCATTAAGTAGTTGCAGAGAGTCTTAAGTTACCATCGAGAAGAATAGTTTAAGTAATATAGTATAAGCGATGTATGTAAGATGTAGTTAATAAACATCATCTTTGAACCCCCAACGATTTCTTCCATTTCATCCGCGCCACTTAGTACTTCGTCCAAAACACTTATTAATTAGTCAGATTAGATAAAGATAAGTAAATAGGTTTATTTTCATTTCAATTAAAAACTAATATTTTATTATCATAAAACTAATATTTTTCAAATTTTAAGCAAAATTATGGATTCGTGTTTGGAATTATATTAAAATTTATTTTGCTGATTTTTACAAAAAGATACATAAAATGTAAATGTGATATTTTAATTTTAATTAATAACATTTAATTACAATTTAGTCTTGTTGCATGTAATAAATAATAAATGAAATTATTTACAGTTAATCAATAATGAATTAATTTCGAATACAACTCTCTTTTTTTTAAATACTGAAAAGAGAATTATGATATTAAATTCGAATTTAATTAATTAAAATTTTAACGGTTTTCGTTTATTAATATAAACGAATCATAAAGTAAATAAATTATAATCTAATAATCCATGGATTTGAAAGCAACGAAACCGGATACAAAACTTGTTCGAAGCGTGTGAACTTTTCATGTGCTTCGTTAATTCCATCACGACTAAACTTCCATAAATAACTTTAACTTCTAAAAAAATTAGTGTGAACGTTAACTCATGGAATGTAAATAGCATTCTTTTTATTTCTTAATTTGTTCGTTATTTCTACGACTGAAAAAATACCTAGAAATGTTAGAATTTCTTATAAGGAAGTTTGTTGTTTGCGTGCGTACACGTTGTTGGAATCTTACAATTCGGAGAATGAGAAACACGATGTTAAAAAAAAAGAGATAGAGAGTGAAAGGAACCCAAATTATTATTTGTCTTACACGTGTTCATAACATATCCGCACCTGTTTGGGATGGAGTCAAACTGTCTGCCAGAATTTAATCATCGTTTCTATATACAGTAGATCCTCGCTTAACGAGTTTAATTTGTTCCGAAATTTCCGAATTTTTACTCGTATAGTGAAACATATTCAAAAATATACATAATATGTGTACAGAAGTTTTAAAAATGATGTAACAGGCTCGTAATTCGGGACTTCTCTACTCATCGTCACTCGTTAAGCGAGTCATTTTTCATACAATTCATTTTGTTCGCTTAGCAAAATGCTCGTTATGCGAGGTGCTCGTTAAGCAAGGTTCCACTGTACTTTGTTATTGCAATTCGAAGTAGTAAAAAATATATAAACAACACATTAATAAATTAATTTTATTAAAAATGTTTTTTTGTTAAGAACTTTAAATGATTAACAATCAATATATTTTTTAAAATATTAATTATTCAAAAATGATAATTAATATTAGAATATTTCTAATTATAATTGATTAATAAATAATCAAAAAAAACTACATTCCAGCTTAAAATGTAGTCAATATGAATATTGAATATATTTAGAGAAATCAGTCGACTAATGGATTTAAATTATTCACTTAATCTACCATTTTTATACCTTTACTAGAAACGTCGTAAATACGTATTTATCAGGAATAACCACGACCGTAATGCAATAAATAATAGATGAGGTGGATATTTTGGAGAACAGCTTTGGTCTAGTGAATGATGATGCGATGGGAAAACGAGAAGCACAACAGCTTTCACAATGAAATATGCATACAGCTTATATTGGCAGTTTGTTTTGACGCTTTTGAATCGGATCCGTGCACGTGCACAGAAAAAAACGTGTTATTGTTTTCGTTCAAAGTTTACAAAAACCAATTATTGATGAAAAAATGCAGGATTACACGTAGATTAAGCCACTTCAATTAAAACAGGGAGTGCTATTCATTAAGTACAAAGGTAAGTATTTTATGAATGTTTAATACATGTGTAATTGTCGCAAACTTGAAATGTGCTTCGATCGAGAGTCGCGATATTTTCGCATTTGTTTCCGGTCAAGGAGAGTTATATTAATAGATTGGCCAATAAATCGATTGTGTGTACTTCAGTTGGTCACCAAGGCGCGTAGTAATAACAAGTGGGTTTCAGTCCACTTGTTACATCAACCTACCATCTTCCAAGTAAATTCAATAAAAAACATACATCCATTAACAATTATTATACAGCCATAACTCACATAGTTATGGCTTAGATCAGTGCAGATTCATAGAAGTCGGGTTTTAAAATTACAAATAAACTAAATTTTATTTGAGGAAAATAAAAATAAATTGTGAAAAATGAGTAAACGAAGTTATTCTTTATATATAAATGATCGATTTTTTTCCTTAACTCAGTTAAATCTCTTTCTATGCTGGGTTGAAGTGCTCAATTAGTCCTGTTTCAAAACAGTGCGGAACCAATCACACGCCCTATGCGAGGTATTGCTGTACTTCATAAAACATATATTTAAGGACAAAAAACATACATCCATTAACAATATTCAAAATTATTATACAGCAACAACTCACATAGTTGCGGCTTATATCAGTCCGGATTCATAGAAATCAGGTTTTAAAATTTCAAATAAACTAAATTATAAATGAGCAAAATAAATTGTGAAAAATGAGTAAAAAAAATATATACATAAATGATCAATTTTTTTTCCATTAATTTAATCAAATCTCTTTTTATTCTAAAGTGCTCCATTATTCCTCTTACAAACTGTGCGGAACCGATTACATGCTGTACTTTATAAAATAAACATTTTAAGACATAAAACCACCACGATTTTTTTTTAATAGCACAAATTTTCCTTACCTCAAATTCAAAATTAAACTCATTATTTTTCTATTAAACTATAATGATATTATTATACTTTATACTATCCACTTTTTAGGACATGTAATTGAGGCGATTTTTAATTATTTTTGCATTAGTTCAAATTGAAAATATTTATTTTCGAATTAAATATATATAATATATTAGATTTTTTTATATTATTATAATTAATTTTATAATAAAAATATTTAATTAATTTTGCTGCGTTATTTCCTCATCCCAATATTTTATTTATTTGTCTTCAGTTCCATGGATATTTCAAATACCAAATTCATCTTTTTCCAATAATATCACTTTCAGTCGAAAACCTTATCAATTATTCGCTTAGGTTTGCTTTACCCAAACTGTTGCATGTTTCATTCATTCTTTAAAAAATTAAAAAACAATTATATGATACAAACATTCTAATATTTAAATTTGTCGAAAAAATCGAAAAATTACAGAAATGACTAAATTTTCCTTCACTTCATTTCTTTATAGTTTCTTTTTCAATACAATCCCATCTTTATTATAATCCAGTAAAACCAAATTTCAAATATTTTTTATAAAAAAACTTATCATTTCTACATGTCTTGAATCGCTTTACCTGAAATATATTTTATTTTGAATTACTTTACAAAATGAAATCATTTATTTAAAAATTTAAAAAATATTTTCGCATTACATTTTGATTTAATACAACTAAAATTTAATTTAAGTGATTAAGATTAATTTATTCTTAAATTGTTGATATAATATAATTAATATTCATAGAGCAAAGTTTGATTGTAAAATAAATGAAGTCAGTTGAAGTATACTTTGATGTAATATCTTGATTTACGATAGTTATGATAGTGATATTACATGAATAATTTAATTAGTTTTGTTTTCAATGAAAATAATACATATTTTCGAAACCATAGTAGCTTTTGTTGACCTTTGTGGTTCGAGGTTACTACCTGAAAATGAATTATCCGATGTTATCTCATCTGGTACATCTTTGGTCCAGAAAGATTACATCGAAAAACGTTTATTTTTGAGTTAGGTATACTTTACTGTCGGTTGGATAATCTAATCTAAACAGTATTCACGTCACAGTTCATTTGATGGTAAAAGGCGCCACCCGGCTTTGAACTGTTTGATGGAATGATAATGCTGCATTGAAAACAGTCGATGTATCAACAAACATAATGGGAATAGTATATGGAATTTGTTTTGCTACCGTAGAATAGTAAACGTGCGAACGATTTTCCCATTCAGCAGTCTGACCTTTTAGGTTCAATGCTGCTGTACGTAACCGATATGAGTAAATAATAACAAATACGAATGAAACAGGTTATATAGTTCTTGTTGATGAATCAATCTTGTTGCAGCACCTATGAATGGGCTTGTTTTTGTTTTGAGTTTGGGGAATCTCAAGACGAAAGCACATGCGTTCGTTTTTAAGAGGGAGACGAACGTGTCGCACGCGGCGTTCTAAATTTGTAGTAAGGATTGGATATATTTCCACGATCTTCACGAGAGAGACCCTGACCCAATAACAGCAATGCGCAAAAAAACTTTCTTTCTAAATTAAGTTTTGGATTTTTGGATATATTGAATGTGTTTGATGGTTCTCTGTTTACCTCGCGCAGATCCGGTACATCTTGTAGGATGAAGGCATAGTTCGTGAGTAGCTGCCTCCCTCGTATAGCACGCAGATTTGGAAATAGTTTGCCGACACTCGTGAGGCCGGAGACTCTGAAGATGAGGAACAACTGCTCAACTTCGATCAGATCAGGGAAGCTGTATTGGTCAAATTCTTCGGCTGTGGTGTTTTCCAGCAGGACGATCACCAGGTTCTCGGTGATGATGGTGCATCCTGCCAGATCCTTTTCCATCTTGGTCAGGTTATTCTGGATCCGGACGTTCGTGCATATTCTGCATTCCGCCGGACTCAGCAATAGGAACCACACTATATAATAAAGATACTTGGGCAACATTGTTTCGTTTTTCGGAAGTCACAGGGACGCGGCGCGCACATGCTCACAGTCACAACTTCGGCGCTCAACTAAAGTACAAGACGAATCGGAGGCGAGCGCATTGCGCGGTCTTCGAACGCGTGCGCACCGCAAACTCTTATCAACGCTATCACCTCACCTCACGAAGAACAACAAGCATCTGCATCACAATTTAACACCAATTTCGATCCTGAACACTTTCCTTAATTACAAAAATATTACACTTAAAGTACACGGCAATTGTGCAATCCCTGCCAAAATACTTATCTTATACAATTGTTCTAACTTTGAGGAAACAATTTCACTAAATTAATTTAAACTCGGATAACTACACGTACTTGCTCAATTCAAATACTTAAAGACGATTTAAATCACCACAAAACACAAAACTTGACATATATTAGTTAAAAGTTGGCGACAATGCATAAATAATAATATTTATTAGTTACAATTACAAAGGGCAATGGACCTAAGACTTTTCGCCCAGAGACACAAAAAACATAAATTGTCACAATAAATCATATAAATAAAATGCATTCTGATAATAAAAGTAAGACGTACATATATGTAAGTATAAAAAAGATGAAATTATAAATTAAACCAAATAAAAGTAAATTTTCTCAAAATGAATTCAAAAAAATGAAACAAGAACTAAACTAAAAGACTTTTTTTCAACAAAAACAATGAAGACTTTTGTAAAATTATGTAATCTTTCAACACTAATCCTCGCTGTCAGATATGAGTCGCCTAACTCGTCTTCTTTTAATGGGCAAAATGTCTTCATCACTTAGTTCATCTTCACATTGGTTTTCGATTGTAGCTTTTTTTCTAACTCCACTCAAACCTCTCTATAGGGATCTAAGCAATTTCTTAACTCTCTTTTAAACTTTGCGCTGAACACCGTTGAACGATCAGTTTGAATGAAATGAAGTTCTAATTCTTTAGCCAAATTTAGCCCTTTTTTCACATCTTGTAAATCGAGATTTGGACCCATTCGTTTTCCTTATTTTCGTTTACCAATGCATTTGAGGTGGATGCATCAATTAATTCCATCAGTTCTTCCTCATCTAAAGTTACTTCCCCGAGTTCTCTTACATCCTGATGGTTTACAGCAAATTCTTCATCGCTTAAACGAGAAGCAATGTTTACTATTTCTGTAACTGGGAGTGAAATTGTAGAATCATCTTTTATTACTTGAACCATTTGAGGTAAAAGAGGTTTCCAACACGAATTAAGCGTTGATGGTTTAATTTTCGCGCAAGCCGATGACACGGTTCTAATACAATCAAGATAAGCTGGCATGTTTATATAAACATATTGTTTATGTATCTCGGCAGTGCGTTTGCGTCGAAAATAAAACTTATATTAAAATCTCTTACAATATCTAGTTACTAGAGTCATTCATAGGCTGCGCGGAAGGAACTTATGGATGCTGTTGAATGGAAAACGCGTTCTGAGAGTACCGCGTTATAAGAGGGTTGACTGTAATAACAATTAATAATCTAATTGTATTTGAGATTATTGCATAATGTTAAGGTTTATTATGGATAATTCAACAAAATCAAGTAAATTAATAATAATTTATTGTTATTAATAATAAAAGTGTAGCACAAGGTAACTACACTCCGAAATAATTTAAAAATATTATTGTAAAAATTTCCGATATAGTCGAGATTTCGAACGTCGGGATTTCAATAGACGGTCTTTCGGTTGGGATATAGACTCGTTAACTATGTGGTTATATATTGTTATTGACCAGTGAATTCTGTTGTCCTGTTGCATAAATATTTTTACATTTATTTTATATTAGAAATAAATTTACGAAATTTACTTTGATAACAAACAAACATCGCATTATCATTTAATTCCACTTGTAATCCTTAATAAACTCAAATATTTTATAAGTTTGATAGCATTTCTGAAGAGACAAATACAACACTCACTTAATTAACTTACTAATCAAATATGGAATAGCGCGGATAGTTTTAATTAATCAGCAGTAATCATAAGTTGATAAACGTGTTTAAATAAGTTTCAATTCCATAATCCCAAAGTGTTGCTCGTAGTGTTCTTATGTAAATTATTCCCATTACTAAAGTAATTTTCTCCAATTTTCGTGAATTTGTGAATAAAATATGGTTTCTATTATTGCACAGCTTTTAAATAATTTGTTGTTGATGATTAATGTATTTTATTTTATAAATAATTTATTTTGTCATTTTTATCTAATGTATTTCGATTTTGTTTTATAAATTTTGATAAGTAATTTATTTTGTCATTTTTCACCAATTTGTAAATGCTTAATGTCCAGCAATATATCGCTTAGTGCGGGTAATTTGTTCTGGTCTATTTGATACCTTATAAATATCAAAACCGATCTTTTATGTATACGAAAATAATTGTATGTACTTTATTTAGAATTTATTTTTCTTTTTCTCAAATTTTATTTGTAAACTGACAGAATCTGCACTCATCGAAACCGCAGCATGCGAAATATTTCTAAATTTCTATATTGTTATATATTTATTTATTAACTTTATTTTATTTATTTTTCATATGAATTATTATTTTTTATCTATTTTTATTTACACTTTTAATTATTTTTTTCAAATCCGTACTCTTAACTGGTCTCGTAATAGGGGAGCAATAATCATGCTTCTTCTGAAGGTCCACATAATTTCACCGATAATGTGCTTTTATCAAGAAAAGGTCTTTATGACCAGCGATAAAAACTTGTTTGCTGCTTCCAATGATACACTTTCAAGAAATATTAAACTCGAGGAATATAAAGATCACTCTCATAAAAAAGACATACGTTTTCAAACATAAATTTTATGATTTATATTTTTCAAGTATAACAAAACTTTGTTTTTTTCCTACTAATTGAAATAATTGAATTCATTTTTTTGTCATGATAATTGCAATCAATTTATTTCTAAAATTGCATTATTATTTTTTGAGTTTTTGTATATTTCTTTAAAATAATTTAATATAAATAAATTATGTGCTTTACAAATATGGAATATCGCATATAGTTTTTATCTTTCAGTCTTATTAAACTATTTTTTTAAATAATTATTTTATATTTCAATCAAAGTATTTCATATTGTGTATAACAAACCTGTTTAAGTTGCGGTAAGGTGTGCAGCACGACGGAGTAGTTGTCCAAGAGGATTTTACCTCTGATCACGGCTAAATTCGGTAGAAGCGCGCCAAGATTTGTCAGTCCCTTCACGTTAAATACCAGCAGCATCCCTGCGACCTCGCGCAATTCGGGGAAGCTGACGTTTCTGAAATCCTCCTCATTGGTGAACTCCATCAGACTGATCAACAGGTAACCCATGACCAGTTCGCATCCTCCCAGCTCCTTTCGCAGATGCTCTATGTTGTTCCTGCCGTCGACGTCTATGCAGATCCTGCATCGTCCTGCTGGTATTAACAGAGAGACGCAGACAAGGATAAAACGTAACCGCATCATCTGACCATGCAACCGTTTTTAATGAGCCTCTCCGCCTTTCGCCAGATCATTTTATACAGATCTCAAGTCGCACGATCATCATCGTCAAATCAGGTGGTTTCTGATTCAATTTCGCAGGGTCAATTGGTGTTAAATCAACTTATAACTCTTAATTAATAATCATCATTTCCATCTATGCAGATACCACAGTTCCGTACGTAAAGTTCACATCATTTCCAACATAAAATTGTAAATTGAAACATATATAAATATTAAATATATATTTTGACAAAAATGTTATTATCAAAATTGAAATATTGCATATTTTTAACAATTTATTTACTAAAAAAGTTACAAAAATCATATTTAAATATTTCACTTAAAATTCAATTCTTGTAAATAAAAACAAAAACATTTTTTTAAAGAATTCAATATCATTTCTGATTTATTTTTGTAGTTATTTTGTCATGTAATAATAATGATAATATTTATTGAAACAGTAAAATTACAAAATAAAAACTCAATACAATAATATAAAGATCATAAATCAATAGGCCATAGGTTTTGTCATGTAATGATGTAATTTCTATATAAAATTGTAATTTTCATACAGAAATATTATAAAATATTTAGAGTATTCAAAATTAAAAGCCCAAATTTACTTTCCATGTTATGTATTTATAACATATTATTCAAATATTTATTTCAATAGTTTATTCAAGGTACAAATCAACATTTTCTTTTTTGTTTTAGAAACACAAATATTTCAATATTTAGAATATTCTAGATATCAATCAAAATTTTCTATGCATTTTAGAAACACAAATATACAAACATTTATAGTATTGAAGGTACAAATAAATCAGAATTTTCTTTCATTTTAGAAATACAAATATTAAAATATTTAAAGTATTCAAAATTAAAGTCTAACATTTACTTCCATGATAGAAACACACAAAAAAACAAATATTTAGAGTATTCAAGGTATTAATCAACATTTTCTTTTCCGTTTTAGAAACACAAATATACAAACATTTACAGTATTCAAGGTACAAATAAATCATAATTTTCTTTTCATTTTAGTAACACAAATATTTAGAGTATTCAAAATTAAAAGCCAAAATTTACTTTCCATGTTAGAAACACAAAAATTCAAATATTTAGAGTATTCAATTGCAAAAAAAAAATATTTTTCGTTTTAGAAACACAAATATTTCAATCTTTAGAATATTCTAGATACAAAACAAAATTTTCTATGCATTTTAGAAACACAAATATACAAACATATATAGTATTCAAGGTAAAAATAAATCATAATTTTCTTTTTCGTTTTAGAAACACAAATATTCAAATATTTAGAGTATTCGGGGTGCGACGGCCTAAGGCGCATCAAACGTGAGGGCACATAACGCCAAATAGTATGTTTCTTTGGGGGGATGGTCGAAAATGAAATATGTTACCCATTTGATTTCTAGAGGCAGGGTGCAAATTAGATATTGGCTAAATATCGCTTCAATTTCATTACAGATGCAAATCAAAATTGTCTTGCCATTTTTGAAACAATTATTCAAATATGTTAAGTTTTCAAAACAAAAACCAAATTTTCTATTTTAGGAACGTTGCAGCATTTTTAAATTAATTTTTTGTGCTTTAAAAATTGATATACACAGATTGAATCCTTCTGTTTCTCATATATTTGAACTATCAATCCGACTCATGTTACTAACTTTTTTTAACTTGTTTTCTTTGAAACTATATCATAAATTTACTTTAATCCTTAAAGTATTTAGTGGTATGCTTTCTTAAAACAGGATTGATGATACTGTTTTTCTTTAAAAAAAAAATGCATCTAGATCCACATAATCTCATTGATAATGTGATTTTTTATCACAGAAACGTTAACTCTTTGCAGCCGGCAATAAATATTTCTCCAGTTGCATTTGGTTTCAGATACCAGCAATAACTAAATAATAATAATATACAGATTTATCCTATAAATATTTCTGTTTGTATAACATTATTGATTAAATAAATATTGATCTTAGTAGCAAATAATTCAGTTACGTGATGCAGGAATATTGACACACAATTACATAATTAATGTATGCCACCAGTTGAGCATATTGCGTGCTTAAAGTTATCTTATGCAATGCATAATTGTGTTCCAACAGACAGTAACAAGGTTATGTTAGTAACAGTAGAAACAAGAAGTGTTCAGTTTGAGAGTCATCTTTGGTCATCTTATCGAAAGGTAAGCGATGGACAGTATAACCGAAATTAATAATATTTTGTCTTTGAATTTCAATGAAAATTGTGTTTCTATCGCATATTTTTACTGTAAATAATAAATAAAATATAAATGGATTTATCAAACCAATGTTTTTTTTTGTAAATTTTGAATTTTTTATACGTTGCGAAAATATAAATTACAATATAGATAGCAGATGGTTAAAATTAAACTCAATGAATATTTGTAAATAAATAAATACAATAAATTACAGAAATTTTATAATTTTTTCTTGAAATGTTATTTAAAACTTGAGAAAAACGTTGCATAATAAATGACTTTAAACGGAAAATTACCAAGAGATTGTCATATCTCATATTCATAAAATATTTATTTTTTTTATATAGAAATGAAACGTGAAATTATTTTTAATTGTAATTTTACAAAAAAAATACGCTCATTATAAGTAATGAGTTGTGTTGTGATTATTAAAAATAATCATTGTAGATTTTTTTTTAACTATTGTTGGAAAGGTAAATTCTGTGCTATTTTTTAGATTTTAAAAGTAAATTAATATAACTTATATTTACTTTGTAGTTGATATGTCTGAAAAAAGTATTTGAATCAAAGTGTTCATACAAATAATGCACTCGTATCTCAAGTGCTCTCGATTAAAGTTAATTAAAGTCGGATTTGAGTGCTTGTATTACAATGTTAGATAAAATATGTTTGTTGTGAATTATTTTTTATTATTATTTTTCTGTTTATTCGATAATTAAAGTTGCAGATCAAGCAAGATGAAACTATTTTATAAACTGTAAAACTCTTAACTATAGTGTATGTAATAATATATTTAACAAAGAGCTGATTCATGTTCTAATTGATATTTCCAATAACGCGAATTCCGGGCTATAATTTGCATAGACAGAAACGTTGCGATTGAATTTCGGAATGGAATAATTATAGTGGACAAGTTGTAGCACCAATTCGGATATAAAATAATCCTTGAATTTGATGCGCTCATTACATAACATTGTGTTACTGTAACAATAAATTCTAATGATAATTTGTAGTGATGTTTCACAAAAATTAGAACACATAATAATTCTTCTATATTGCACTTTTATTAAAAGCGTACGAATTGGACGATTGTATGTAACGTCCGTCAATTTGACATGAGCTGTTTTGTATCTATTTTCATCTTCTCGTTTGTTGCAGCAACAGAAATGTATGAATCCGATAGGAATAAATTGTATTGGGAAATGTCGGAATTACCGCGACAGGAATCCCTTCAATTCCAAACCTGTTCTCAGTTTCCTTTTCCCCTGTCTTCGTAAATCAACAACATTGCATTTCATATGACAATCTCATATATTTTCATGACATGAAAGAAAAGTTTTGTATACAAAGTACTTTAAATTTTAGTTTAAATAATGAAAAAATTAAAATACAAAGATAAACGTGTAAGAATAATTTCAATAATTTGGATAACAATAATTCTTTTAATAAATTTCAATTAAACTATTCAATTATATTTTCGAAAATCATTAAGTTTATGAATTCTAACAAAAATTGGAATGAAATTTTGAAAATCAATCAATAAAAAAGTATTTTACTTAAATTTGAGTTCAGCGATTCACGAAAAAAATCCTGAATTTGTGATAATATTTATCTCTCTCTCGAGAAACAAAAAATTAAATTGAATGTACAAAAATTATTGAATATTCTAGTATTGTACTTTAAAATTGCAGCACGATGCCTTCTCTTACGTTCACCGTTGTAACCGGTAAGATAATGAAAAAGTTAATGAGATTAACGTGTCTAATTATATTGTTGATTAGTAAGCGACAGTTGTTCGAGAGGAGAGTGTCACGATAAATCGGGGCCGAAGCTCTTGGATCTCGTAGAAAAATATTTTCCGAATAGTCGGACCCATGCAGATATCGTTTCCGATGATCAGGTTGCCATTGAAACCTGCTTGAAGTACTGGAGCGAGAGAAGCGATATCATCATCACGACAGGTGGAACGGGGGTGTCGCCGCGAGATGTTACACCAGATGCCACTTTAGCGGTGATCGACAGGGAAGTGCCCGGAATATCGCAGACCTTGCTGATCAAGAGCTTAGAAGTTACTGATATGGCTATGCTATCGAGGTCGGTGTGCGGAATCCGAGGTAAAACGTTGATCGTGAACTTCCCTGGAAGCGCGAAAGCCGCATGCGAGTGCTTCGACTTCGTGCAAACTGTCTTTCAGCACGCCGTCGATTTGATCCACGATAAATTAGGGAATGTTAAAAAAACGCACGCGTCTCTCCATCAAAATCAATCGGTCAAAGTTGAAGTCGGCGTACCAAAGAGCAAAGTAGTTAACAAGCAAATCAGTTTGAATACTTTTTTTTAATTGAATTTGGTTCATGTTCAATAGGTGTTTATACCTAGATCGGCCCACAGAAATCGCACATCTCCTTACAAAATGATTGAAGTAGAAGAAGCCATTAATCTCATACGGGATTCTTTTCGGTTGGATGATAAGTATGAATTGGTAGATTTAGAAAATGCTTGGGGCGCAATTCTTGGTGAGAACGTTAGCTCCGTAGATTCTTTGCCACCATTCCCTGCATCCACCAAAGATGGTTACGCTGTAATTGCTGCGGATGGTGCAGGTGTCAGAGAAGTTGTGAATTCAGTAGCGGCCGGAGATCAGGTATTTAGCATCAAAAATTTCATTTCATCAGTTATTAATTTGAGTATTTTAAGCCCGATGTCAAGATTTTAAAACCTGGACAGATAGTTAGAATTAACACCGGTGCTCCGGTGCCTCCAGGAGCTGACGCCGTCGTCCAGGTAGAAGATACTAAAGTTCACATAAGTGATGCTAAAGGGGAGGAAATTACAGTGGAGATCTTGAAAGCACCGACCGTAGGTCAAGATATTAGGTATTTAGCTAAATTAATTAGTATTAGTACTAATATTGGACATTTTTAATTATAGACCAATTGGTAGCGATATTGGCTCGGACATGGAACTACTCAAAACAGGTGAAAGACTATCTTCGGCACATATAGGTCTGCTCGCAGCTATCGGCCGTACCAGCGTCAAAATCGAAAAGTCTGCATTAAGTATATACGTTTATAAATATTTATTGAATAATCGAATTTCAGGTCTGCGAAAATTGGAATACTGTCGACTGGAAACGAGCTACAATCTCCGCACGAATCCATCAAACCCGGAAAAATCCGGGACAGCAATAAGCTCACGCTGATCAACTTGCTTAAAGAATATGGATACAGCTCGAACGATTGTGGAATTTCTAAGGATAAGTACGAACTCAAAAGCGAGATTTAATTCGATGATCAATTTTCATTTTAAAACATGCAGCCCTGACGACGTGTTGTTGTCATTCATAAAAGCGTTCCGTTACAACGATGTTGTCATAACGACCGGAGGCGTTTCCATGGGAGAGCACGACGTTATCAAGAATGTTCTCATGGAGGATTTCGGCGCCGAAATTCTTTTTGGTAGAGTGAACATGAAGCCTGGGTAATACTACAAACATGATTATAGAGGAGATCTGAATTAGAATTATTATTTTTTTTTATCCTAGAAAGCCGACGACTTTCGCCAGACTCGAATTCGAGGGTAAAACAAAATTCGTTTTCGGACTGCCCGGTAATCCAGTTTCTGCAAGCGTCACATGCATCCTCTTCGTGATTCCCGGTTTATCGTTCTGCAGTAAAGCATTCTTCTCACATAGAACAATAAGCGTCCATCTCGTAAGTATATTAAATATAAAACGTAACAATTTTGTGATAAAATAATTTCTTATTGTAGAATGAAAAGCTATCGTTGGATCAGAGGCCGGAGTATGCTCGAGCCACGTACACAAAAACTGACGATGGACGATACGTTGCGAGAACAACAGGAAATCAAATTAGCAGCAAGCTTAATAGTTTCGTTGGCGCTAATTGTCTTTTGATTCTGCCAGGCCAAACGTCGGAGCAGAAAACACTACCCAAAGATTTCGAAGTTGAAGCCATAATACTTCCAACCCCAAACTTTAATTGCACTGAAGAAAATGAAATTTAGCTACTTCTAGTATTGTTAATGAGAATTATATAGAAAGGTGATACATTGGTATATAGATTTATAATTTTATTTACAGAAAAAGTATAAGAAATAAAACGTAGTACAAGTAAACAAAAAAAACATCCCTATACCTACTATATACACACAAAAAATAAAAATGTTAGGGTTGTTGATAAAATGTATATTGATTCGTAAACCAAAAGAAGGTCTTAAGCAGTAAAAATGTGCAGAGGCTTCCTCCACAGCTGCTTCTTAAGCAGGGTGTAATTTCGTTTGGGGTTTCCGCACGTTATCGCCACGTTTACAACGTGCAAAGCGGATGGCGGAAGGACAATGGGTTGGAACTCCAAATGGCCGAATATGTCCACGGAGACCTCGGCATCGGGTTTACTGAAATCATTATAGTTTAGAAGACTATTAACTCGTACGAATCTATTTCTACCTGATCAATTTCGGCGTTGTCAACATGAAATCCATGGAAAGACCTTTCGGGTTGAGCGTAATCACTTTCACTCCACTCGTGGCCAATTCCTCTCTAAGGGCATTGCTAGCGCCCTGAATTGCATACCTAGAGGCTGTGTATGCGACGAGACCAGCCTCTTCGCCTTCGGAATTTCCCAACGTTATGATCCTACCTTGTGATGAGCGTAATAAGGTTTGGAAGGTTCTTGCCACACGCAGCATTCCCACCACGTTTGTCCGCAGGATGGCGTCCCAATGGGTCACATCCTGCTGCTCCAATCGTCCTCTGTACATCACGCCGCTCGTATTAATAACCGCCCATAAACCTAAAACACATAAAATCAATCATATTTTTAGTTTAACAATAACCTATTTGCTAATTGAAATTTTATGATTTTGGAGTAGGATATCGATCAGTTACATGCAATAAAAATGGAATTAAAATAATTAAAATTATGAGATAACTTGTTAAAATGAATATTAAAACTCGGAAACAAATCATGTCGATAATTCTATCTTACTAAATCATATGTATAGAGCCAAACTATAAAAAGAGATTAAGTTAATAAAAATTAAAATAGTGTTGTTCTTCATTCTGATAAAATATTATGTAAGTTTAGTTGCAATACTTTAATATTAATCTTCTTTTACTAGTTGATAACTGTAACTGTTGCAATAAATATTGTCTGAATAAATGGACTTTAATGTATAATAGTGTTTTTTTTTAATTGATAGCCGAAAAATATGCATGTTTCACCACTTTGGCATGTATAATTATAGCAATTGCAGACGAGGAAATGTTGCAATAATTGATCGTACGGTTCGCTTCAATTGCAATTGAATATTATTAATGTTGGAGTACGATTTCCTCCTCATACCGCCGCCTGGCGTCTCGCATATGGTTTTTGGTTAAAAAATGCAAGCGACGTGCTTCCTTCCAAATACGAACAGAAACGAAAGTTGCCAAGACCAACAATGGCGAACGAACAATTGGAATTGTAATGGAATGAGTAGAATATTAATGTCTCACCGTCCTTTCCGGCCGGCAAATGCGCCCTGATTATGTCCACGGATTCATGCAGAAGGTCCTCCCTGTTAACATCCAAGGGCAAAGCCACTATAGTCCCCTGAAGACTTATAGATGCGAGACTCTCCCTGTGCTTCAACCATCCGCGGATAACCCTCGCTGACGCCGAATCATTCGAGTCACCAGAAGCGGCGCCATCCTTCAATCCTGCGAACACCCGGTATCCTCTATCGGCAAGATGAAGAGCTATCTGCGAACAAATAATAAAATGAAGAAATCTGGAAGGTTCTACATATGCAGTACTCACTTGCAGGCCTATGGCATTGTCGCAAGAGGTCACGAGGACGGGTTTTCCAGCGCCAGGTGAGCTCTCCTCGCTCTCCACTCCAGACTCTGGTTTTATCTTGCAGAGCAGGTACAGCAGAAGAGCACCGGCTATGGAAAAAAGCGCGACCAATTGCAGAGCAAGCACCAGAGCGGTCTGTTCATCCATCTCTGAAAGCACAACAATTTCATCACATAAACTTGATATTTATCCAACATATTTTTTTTAATAAAGAACAAAATTTCATGATAGATTTCTGCTAATAAATGAATCTAGCAGAAGTAATTAACATACTGTTATTAATGGATTCATACAATAATATAACACAAATTTGTATAATAGTACATTAAGTTGATGCACTTATACATTAATAATAGAAAAACAGGATTTTATATCTACTATAGAAATGCGTTGGACGCAGAAAAAATATAACAATATAAAAAATAACACACTTTTTATACTATAATCATTTTATATCATTGTCTCAACAAATAAAAACAATCATCCAACAAAGTAAAACTTTACCTGGATATAAATTTTCATGTATTCAAAGATGTTAAACGAAAGTTATTTAAAAAAAATGAATCTTCAAGTGACTAAATTATTTCAAATAAATTAATAAAGTAACGAATACAATTTTCCTACTTTCAAGCTACATTCGTCCTAAATTTGCTATAAAGAAATGAAAACAAGTTAATTTAAGGGACTGGCAATATTTGAACCTGAACTGGGTCAGCCAGATCTATTTAGCATGTAAAGCGTTTTGTCGGTGGGCGCGCATTGCTCGCTCATTCAGCCGTGGAAATTCCGAATTGCTTATGAAATTTTTGAAGGAAAACCAAACAGACAGGCAAAGACACAGAACCGCGAATAACGGAGTTCATTCCAATTGCATTTCACAATTTTGTAGAATCTAATAAAGAGACACAGCTTTTGAAGCAATAAACCAATCTGTGTCTGTAAACAACCAGAGATTTGTGCAGCAGCAGGTGCATCCAGAAAATGCGAACTAAAAATGTTCATTTAAATTCTCGAATTTTCCTATAAAATCGATGATTCAGTTGCGGCAACTCCATTTAATTGAATGGGAAATTAAAACAAAAGTAAAATAATTAACGCGAAAATATTGCGCTCGTACACGCACAGAAAAAAACACGGTAAATTCGAGAGCTCGAAAAGTGATTGCTTTTCATTAAATTCTTTTTTAACTTGACGTGAATTTAGTTTGGATTTTTAATAAAAGTTTAATTGCGACGAAATTTTAAGCCTGCGGCTACATCGTAATAACTCGGTGCTTTTAGAAAGGTTTTTGATCGAATTGCTCTTTCCACATTTGCTAGATTGAAAATGTTTAAATCGTACCAAATTAAAAAAAAATAAATTATATAATTCAGTATATTAAGACTAGTCCTTAAATAGGTCGAGTTATAGATATTCTGCAATCGTTACTGAACTTGGAAACCGGGGCGTCATGGTCGACGGTTCTTGCAATAAAGTTGTTAACTATTACAATTAAAAGATGTTCTTTAATGTCCACGATTACGTAAACCGCTCGTTGAGTGGCCTAATGAGAACTGATTTCAAATTGATCGAACGTTACAACTGAGAGGAGATTCCGCGGAAAAATTAATGTAGAATGGATACATCCTCATTAGAGAGGCGTGTTACGCAGATCGTTACGTAAACTCGATTATGATATGTAGAGTGTACCGAAGAGAGGAGCATGGGAATCCGTTCTTCCGGATCGTCGGTTAGAGATGGTCTGGTTAATTGGTAAATAGCCGTTCAAATGAAAAGATAAATAAAAATAAATAATTGTAAAGTTGTGCGATAGATTAAAGCGAACCAACGTTTATTCTCATTTAAACCGTTTGAAGAAGTGGCGATCATCGACTAATAAACCGAATTTCTCCATAATCAAGCAACAACAGACCGAAGAAAACGTCCGTGAAAGTTGACATTCAACTTATGCTTTCGGTTATAAAATTTCTTTTCGAAAATAAAGTCTCTATCGAGACGTTATGTTTCGCTGCACGAGAGAAACTTCGTTACAAATAAATTAATTTTATTAATTGGAATTTTCAACTAGGCATAAATCACAAAGCTCTTCAGCTGAATACACTTTTCACTCATCTTTATTCTATATACGGTAAGACCTCGTTTAGAGCTAACTCAATGCTGATTTGCTATAACACCGCTGGAAACTTTAAACAAGCTCAACATTTATCTGGATTCAAATTAGCGCGGCATTTCATTAATTCGTATATAATATGAATGTTCCCGAATATGGTCCCGCTATACAACAGAATCTATGCTTATTTTAGATGTAGATGAGCAGGATATTAAGGAGTTACTGCAGGTTTCTGATGATGGACTTACGAACGATGATCTTCAAGAACTGACAGAACAAGGAATTGAAGAACGCGAAAATAGTGATTCTGAAGACGTTGAATTAGAAGAACTTTCTACAGATTTTCTTAGAATAAGTTTAGAAACGATAACCGAAATCATTGATCAAATTGTAGCAAATGATCCAAATTTTGACAGGAGTGCAAAAGCAAGAAGAAGAGTTTTGCTTAATGAAAGAAAAACAAAGCGACAAATGACTCTAGATGATTTTATCGCCAAAAATATCTGAAGAGCCAGGACCTTCATCACAAAAGTAAACTTAATATTTCTATTTGCTATGTGTTAAGACAACCTAATATAATATTCCTCTTAATTCATTATAATTCAATACTGCAATGTATTAATCAAAAACTTCTTAACAATTACGAACTTACATTAAACTTTTCATACTCATTTTCATTCTGTATATAATTTGATTAATTTAGTTTTTTTTTTGCTGTTAGCATACATTTCATTACATAACTTACTGAATATGTAATTTCCATGTATATTTTTTTTTGGACAAAATGAAAATTAATGTAACGTTTATTCATTGCAACTAAAGTCATATTATTTTCGAGCAGTTTCATTAAAATATTCAAAGTATGAGCGTATATTGTGGTTGGTTAAGTGCGCACTCTGCATTTAATTGGATCCACGACAAGAACGAGACGGTAGATGTAGAGTCGTCGCACCGAAGGACATCCAGGACGTACATTAGCACATTAAAGCCAATTATACGCGGTTCTGTCGTTACTAGAGAGTGACATTACCATAATGCTATTTCGAAATCAGATTTTGCGTTTGCCTCCATTTGAATATACATTAAAAAGTAAAGAAAAACTGACCGTTTTCTATATGTAATTCGCACGTAATCTCTTACAGATTTATAATTAATATTATACCAATCACAAAAGACAAATTGTCTTGTATTTTGGATGAGATTGCAATTTTTTGAATACAAATTTAGTAGCTGAATTTTTTTGGTGAATTAAATTTATTTAATTATTCTAATTATTCTAATTAGTCAAATTAACTATAACAAAACAATTCAATCAGTTGTGTTATTTTTAATTTGACTAATTAGAATACTTTAAATAATCTTGTGCTAATCTTATAAGATTCACTTAAATATATATTAATGTGTTTATTTCAAATCTGAATTTGTTCTTAAGAAATTAAATTTAACTTTATTTAAATTTTTATTTAAAACTATATTTCTATTATCAATTGAATTTAACGATCAACTCTGTAGATTTGGAAGCTGTATGATTGGTTGATTGTCTGACTGTTTGGATAATTTGTTAATTGTCTGATTCTTCAATTAGTAATCAAAAGTTATCATTTGAATATCAACTAAATAAAATAGATAAGTATAGTATAGTATCAATTAATAATATCTTAAGTTGATGCAATTAATGAAAATTTTTCTAAATTTAATTTTATAATTCGATAGGAAAAATATATATACATAAAAAATCATTTAAATACTAGATTGAATCTTCCAATAATGAAGCTTCGATATAACGAAGTCCGCAATTTCAAACCCCATTAAACATAAATAATATTCCCATTATGACCAACGCCCGACAATAATCCGACAAAGTATGGGCAGAAGTTTTAGTTGAAGGAAATAACTTAATTTCTAAAGTTATCTAGATTCTAGATGACTCAATCAATAAGTTACGAAAATGTCGGTTTTTCAGTGAAAGATTTAGCAACGGAGACAAAGAATATGAAGACGACATTTATTTTTCCTACCGACAAAATAATAATAATTTAGGAAGAAATATTATTGTTAAGCTATCAGTGTTAAATGAAAACACAAACAATCACCTTAAGATTTATATTTTTAAATGTAATTCCATTCTGTATGTAATTTATTTACTATAACTTTTCTTTGTTTGCAACATTTTATTTTTCTTTTTCTAAGTGGAGAAACGTATTCTCCTAGTATTCTTATCTCCAAAAAATGAAGCTTCGCTTAACGAACTAAGTAAACATTTTTTTTAGTAATCTTTATCTTTCTTTAAATAATTAAACTCTTCTCTTGCAATTACCAATATCAACTCAGACGACCTTATTATGACTACCAGGCTTTGCAACGTCTCGGAAAGTTTACAGAACAATGAGTTCAGTTCCACTTGGCATCGTTTCTAATACAAGTAGTAAATGGCATCTCCCGTGTACACTGTAACTGTTTCTCGAAAGCTCCAATTGACCATAAAAAAAAGACACGGAGTCATAGCAATAATGCCAGGCTCGCAGATGGCTTGTTGCAACAGTTCTCGGTGATTTAGATCTGAATGCTGCCGTTCGATGTTTGTAGACCGAAACCAGATGGACGTGAATATGCGAACGCCGTGAAACTACACGTTTATATAAACGCAATACATACTTATCATCGATTCAATTGAATAATTTACAAAAAATAAATAAAATAAAAAACTTTACATGCAACTTAAAACCGTCGCAAAAGAGAAATTACTTTAATCATTTCTTTGAACTTACTAAATTTCTAAAATCATTATGAATGGGTCTGATAATTTGTTATTAGCAACAACAAAAGCGGTTGATCTTTACAAAACAGTTAATTAGAAATGCTACAAATTATGAGCGTACTCCAATTAGATTTTTAATAAATACTTATTGAGTTAGTCCGTGTTTGTAATTAGAAAGTTCTCGTTTGATTCGAATACGTTAAATTATTTTTTTTAAGTTACACGCAAATAAAATACTGTTCAAACAATTGATTAGTTACAGAAAAATCGTAATCGACTCGCGTAATTTTTACGGCGATCAGCGTAAACAGCGAAGTGGAATTCCTTGACTTTATTTTTTGTGCTTTTTCTCGCACTCGTAAACGTCTCCATGAATATTTATTGCTAGTTAACCATCAATTCGCACAATGTATTTAAACTGTATTTTTCGATTACTATTATTATTATCAATTACAAAAAACGTAATTATTTAATGCTAATTGCGTTGATGCAAACTTTCTCATTTTAAATTATTTCCTGAACATGTGGTCAATGTAATAAATCTTTCATGATATATTGAATTCTTACTTTCAAAATGAGTATAAAGTTTGTTTAAATAGCAAGTAAATTGATTTTGATATATTTTTTTTTATTACATTTTCAAGTTTATTTTATGGATAAAGCGTATGTGAGAAAAAATAGTAATAAAAAAAGTAGTTTATATTTATTTTAGGGAGACTAATAGCCAAATGGTTCCCTACCCACGATCGAAACGGCGCTGATTTGAATCCTGGTCAAGCCAGGCCCTTTGTGAGCACTCTCGGTGCTTGCAGCAAATGAATGAGGTTTAGCATAAGGACCATTTCAGCCAAGTCGATGGACAATTTTACATTGTTGAACAGATTTTGAATAAAATTATACGATATAAAAATATATTTATTTTGGAGGAATAAATAGCAGAATAATTTTAAAATGAAATGAGAAAATATAGAGTTTACAATATTTGAAAACTGTATAATTACAAAACATAAGTTTTTTTTAGAAATCATAAGTATTGTAGTCAATTTATAAGATTCTTTATAAATAGAATTAAATAAAAATAATATTTTTATGTCTGATTACCTCAATATCAACATTGATACTCTATATCTACAATATTTCACTGTAAAAGTTATTTATTTTATTTATTTTGAAGGTATTTCCTTAGCCTTTCAGATAGATGCACGTTTTGGTTTGTAATTATTTGTCAAATTGTCTTTTGCAGATTACATTTCGTAAAACATGGATAACACAAACATTATTGTTTTTTTCTTCAAGTATTAGTTCCATCGTTTAACTAATGCAGCACAGATAACTAGAAGTGTCAACGATGTGTCAAGTACTAATAAACACAAAGTACGTCGATGGTTTGTGAAGTTCCGATCTGGCGATTTTGATCTTCAAAATGAACCACGTGGCGATCTGACAATAAGATGGTTAATGATGAGCTGAAAGCTGCATTGGAAACGGATAAATCTCAAACTACGCGTGAATTAGCAGTAAAGTTAGATTTTTTGACATTTTTCGACAATTTCAATTATTGGATAATGACGAAGTGCCAAAATACACTCCGAAAGTAACTATTCACAAAAAAAAGTATCTGTTTAGTGGTCCAACGCTCCAAGGTCTCATAAATGTTTTGCACTACAGCTTTTGGGAACTGGTTAAATGATTCAGGTGGATAACTACTGTAACCAAATAGGCAAAATGAGGATGAAGCTTGAGATTAAGCATCCGAGTTTTGTGAATAGAGATAGGTCAAACCTCTTGTAGGACAACGCTAGATCACATACCTCACAAATAACATTGCTCAAACTACACAAGCTTTCTGTATTTGTAAACATTCTGTCACACAATTTTCAACTTGGGATAGACGAGTGATAGGACCACTTCTTGCAAGAAAAAATATTGAATTCCCAACAAACTGTTGGAAACGCCTTTTGCAATTTTATCACTCGCTCTTCAGGCTTTTTTGCTGCTGACATTAACAAGCTGACAAAACTCTATTGTTAGTTTTGGTGCAAACTTTGGTTAATTATACTTCTTCTTGTTGAATTTTACCAATGAGTGTAGATAATTTATTCATAAAAAAAATAATTTACTAATTTAAATGCGTTAGTTTATGAATATGATCAAATTATAGAATAAATTATATATTATAAAAATATGATTAAAATAATTTAATTATAATGAAAATTTGAATGATTTTTTTTAAGCTTTGGAATTTCATTGAAATAAGAAACATAATGTAACAACTATCACCTTTCTCTGAATAGAAATTCAATGTAAAGTACAATGGATCTGGTCAGCGTGAGTCATGAAACGATTTCGAATTGAGTCACTAAAATAGATAAGACTATTATGTTTTCTTACAAAGTCCTTTCGCATAGTTTCGCTTCGATCAGTGCGGAATCCGCACTATGCGTTGCATTGCTATATAGAAGTTAATCTTTTCAACTGATATTCCTACACGTTTCAATAAAATAATTGAGATGATCTATACTTTGATTATAGCTGAATAAGCCACGAAGCGATAAATATTTATACTGCATTTCTATAACATTCAATTAAACTTTGAAAATCGTAAAATATTCAATAATACAGATACAGTCTTACTGTATCTGCAAACAGCCAAAAATAAACAAATTTTACTTCAATTTTAAGTTGTATTTATAGTAATGTGCATTAAAACTTATGTTTTTTATAAAACAAACATTTGTACATAGAAATATTAAGTTTATTTTTGTGCTGAAGGTTGTGCTGGCTCTTCTGATATTTTTGATTTTTTGGCGATAAAATCGTCTAGACTCAATTGCCGCTTTCTTTTTCTTTGATTAAACAAATTTTGGTAGCAGGCGACACTCCTCTTCTTTGTTTTGCACTCCTGTCAAAATTTGGATCATTCGCTACAATTTAATCAACGATTTCGGTTCTCGTTTCTAAACTTTTTCTAAGAAAATCTGTAGTTCTTTCGGTTCATCGTCTTCACAACGACTATTTTCGCGTTCTTCAATTCCTTGTTCTACCAGTCCTTGAAGGTCGTCGTTAGTAAGGCTCTCACTAGAAACCTAACTCCTTAATATCCTTCTCATCTACATCTCAAACAAGCATAGATTCTGAGGAAGCACAGCGCTATGTGTGAGGGAATAATCGTATTATATACGAATCAATGAAATGCCGCGATAAGGTTTCCATCAAACCACGTTATTATAGCAAATCGGCGTTAATCGAGGCAGCGCTAAACGAGGTCTTACTATACTTTTTTATAAACTGAAATATTTAGCACATAGAATTAACTTGCTGTGCAAGTTTCAGCTGCGCGTATGAAAACGATGGAATAATCCGACAACGAAACTGGGTTTTTAACAGCGTATGCAAGATTTGCATATTGCTAGTTATTCCGAACTCGCATCGGACGCGACGCTAGATTTTCCAATGACCGAGCGAAATGTAATCAGAAAATAATTCAATTAATGTGCACGAAACGCACACACACAAAAAAAGTTAAGAATATTCAATAAAAAGTAAAATAATTAATGAAATGATAAAATCAAAATATTAATAATGAAAATAGTAGTAGTTTTGGAGCGTGAACTTGCATAAATCACGTTTGCCCAATTCCATAGAGGAGAACGAACGCGAAATGCATTTATTTACAAATAAATTCCGTACGAACCGTTTTGGGATTTCGTGAAAGTTAAACGACGCGAAGCAATCAAACGTATTTAGTACTGCAGATGCGACGATTTATTGGCGATTAAATTTCACTTATTAGATAAAAGTAGTTTCGATGTACAAATAAAAATATCATTACATTTTGTTCACCGTAAACGAAATTTTAATTTCCATATTATCAATTAAAAATCTTATTCTCTAGACAATGATTTAATAATAGAAACTTTATTTTGTTATGTATATCAAATAATTACGTTTATTTTTTGTAAACATCTATATATTTCAAAATACTGACATTTTTATTAGTTTTTTTTTCAATATTTAGATTAATTTAAAATTTCAATATTTCTAATTATGAGATTATTTTTTTGTAAAATTTTATATTTTTCGAAATGTAAATTAAATCAAAATTTAATTATTTCCTAGTGACAATAATTATTGAAATAATAATAGAGATTTTAATTATTAATTTATTCTGTAAACAATAAATAATTATGTTTTATATTAATATTTATCAGTTGAAAATTGAAATATTTCTGATAAATTTGGTTTAATTCAAATGTGTTTACACATTTGGATCCCCCTATTTGGCCCCAATTTGGTATGTTTTAATTGTTATTTCGATTCGTAAATAATTACGTATTCATTAATATAATATTGAATTTCAAATTGTGATAATAATAATTAAAATAATATTTAAAAGTAAAGAAACCGTTAACAAAATTATGTGCTAAATATATTTGATGATAAGATTTAGTGTTAGTAAATTATAATTGTGTTTTTTTTTTCAATTTAATAGTTATTTTGCATCAAAGTAATCATATTTGATAGGCTATTAATTGATACGTTAAATGGTTTGTTATTAAATTGGTACTCACGTGAAAGTAAAGTTTGTTAGAGGAAAGTAATCCAAGTATAAAAGAGGGAGCGTTAAGTATAGCGATTGTCTGTTTTTGTTTGCGTCTATATAGATTTATTTGAACGATGACAAAACAATTGTTATGATGCACCTCCGATTGAACAATGCACGACGCTTCCTGGCGAAAACATAATGAGCGTGTCGTGAAGGTGAGTCGTTTCGATTGATGATCTCACGACGGTAAGTGAACACCGACTCGGAAAGGCGGAGTAGCGAAGAGAAGAAGGTAGGTTAACTTAGTTGGATGGGAAGGTAGAGAGGTAGAGGTATGTATGCGCTCGGCTCGAACACCGTCAAGAAACTGGTGTTGTCGGCGACGGAATGCGAAGCTCTCCTCCTCCATCGCCTGCCTGCACTTTATTTACCTTCTTTTCGAATGAGAATCAAAAGGTAAATGGACCCAACCAGATGCTTTTCAACGTGACGTTTACATACTTCTTCGTATCCGACACCCAAAACATCAACGACCCATCCACGGTAAAGCACAACAGCAATAATAATAGAAAGAAACAGCCCACTCTTTACCTAATTCCTACCTACTTCATTCATCAAAAACCACTACGAAAACAAACAAACATTTTGTACTACAACACAAAATTTACCTGTTTTATACTTAAACATCTAAATCAAAGCAAGATAAAAAATATATGTTTATGGTCATATTTCTTTCAATAAAACTGCTGTAAAAACGCCATCATACTCAAATAACCACTATATAGTTTTGGGGGTCCCGAGCTAACATTGTTTGAGGGCCCTCGACTAAAACTGTCTGAGGGCTATCGACTAACACAGTGTGTTGTCTCACCAAGTAACACTGTTTGGAAGCAACCTAATTAACATAAATTAACCCTAGTTTTGGTTAGTTGTGTTTTTTCTTTGGCTACAGCCCATAAAAGTCATGCCAAAATGAAGTATTCTAACTTAACACAAGATTTACTTGTATTCTCCTTCAACTTAAAAACAAACACAAATTTATAAACAACAACAGCTTTGATAAGCAAATTATGTAATTTACAATTCAAGGATATCGATTTTCATATCGACCAAGTTTTTTTTCCCAAAAAATATATATCGTCTGCAGAGTATTTTCCTCTTAAATCGAATTTAATTTGGTCCAAGGTTGTTAAGTGATATAAAGTCTGAAATTGTTGCCAAGGATACTTTAATGTAATATAATTATAAAATTCACTTGTATTGAACTTTTTAAATAAAACATATAAAAGTAAAAAAATAAACCATTAAATTAATTATAGTTTTGGTTCAATTTTATATTTGATTGTTACTTAAAATTAATTAGCAATATAAACAAATTTATTTCAAAAAAATTCAACAAATTATTGGCGAAAAATATAGTTTATTAATATCGTTAATGCGGATGTGGAATCTTATGTATTTATGTTTTTATTATAGTTTCTTATGAAAGTATTGTAACATTTACTAAGAATTATTCAACAAACTAGTTTTATTTATTTTTTTAGAAAAAATATTACTTACAGTTATTATAATAGTACCCAAACGCAGTTATGTTTATATAAAGAAAATAATTTCGTTTTTTAGTGTGAAATAAATTTTTTTTGTATACAATAAATATCAATTATATGTTTTCCATCTTTCTGTCAATTTCATGATTCCGTGCACATAAAACTGCTTGCCCTTATCAAAAAAAAATTAGTGAAAGTTTTACCATTCAAAGTGTTTTGCAAACTTCGAAATAAATAGTAATTTGATGGTTCAAGTCAAAGTTTCAATAATTTTCCACGCGTTGCCAAAGATGTGAGGATTTACATATGTTTTGGATTTGACCCTTTGATTGCTTTCTCCAGTTATATTTGTTGTTGACAGTAAACATCTAGATTGAGTAAATATCTGAAAAATCTCCAGAAATGTGGAGTTAAAGTGAATGCAATAATAATTTTTGGTATTATTATGTTTATTTGTATATGGATTACTTCTTATATGATTAATTTTTTTAGCGATGTACAATTTACACTGAGTCTTATAGCTGGAAATGTAAATTACTTAACAATAAAGATTGATATATAGTTTCTATATATTTTTGTTCATTGATATGCTTTTTCTGTTCCTCCGTGAGAATATTGTTAAATAATTAAGCGTTGTCACAATCTAGCAAGATAAAAAAAACAATTGCGTTTTTATCTGTGCAAATGGGACAAATTTGAGACATCAAAAGATGTGTGGAGCAACGTATACTTACCACATACTTTTCCTATTCAGAGAAGAAGCAATACCAGAAAGAAGAAAGAAAAACGTAGTGGAAATAGGTATAATTTGTGTTTTTCGTATTGGCGAAAGCAACAGTGGACTTTAGCAGCTTTCTTGGCTTCTCGGAAATAAAAAGTTAATTATGTGGAAAATGTTGCAAATAAAATTACGCAATTTGGCTTCTCAAATAAACTCTTTCAAAAGACAGAAGGATAAATCATAACATTGATAGAAATTACTTTCTTGTCAATAAATTTAAATAAAAATTGTATATTGAAAAAGCGAATATTTTAATATATATCAAGTATTAAATGGAAACATATTATTAACAACGTTTTTCCAAACATTAACGCACATTAAAATGCAATCTACTCTGAATGCATCTGCTTGTAAAACATTCGATGAATCATAAAGTTAGTAAATACGATGATTAATAAACAAACAATTCAAGTGCGCTCGAATAAAGAATACAGTTACGCAAATATTTGTTAAAGAAAACTGCGTTTTTGTTTGTTATTATTGGAACACAAAACATACAAAGAAGTTCGCTTAAATCATTAAACTTCTGCGAGATTTCCTCATCAATAATTCACATCAAAACTCAGTTGAGACATCGATTTAGTTCTATTTGAATTCTTCGAGGCAATTTCAACTGCATTAAATAATGCAGATTTGTTTGAAAATTTTAAATTAAGTACAAGTTGTTTGATGTTAGTAATTCAGCAAATTGTGTTATAATTAAAACAACAATTTCTAATAAGCTCATTCCTATATACAAGTATCCTTCGACTTACGAACTCTCGGACTTACGAACAAAATTCGAAAAGCTCTAACTTGTTACAGAGAGATATATAGTGATAAAAAAATTAACTGTCCAAACAAAAATTGATAATTTCTCTAATAAAATATAATATTTTTGAAAGATGTACTATCTGTTTTGTTGCATTTGTTTCTTTTATCGTTTTTTATTAAATAATTATGATGTCTACATTGAAAAGTCTTTGTTAGTAAGTATTTTCTTTATTTCAATCTATTTTTTCAAATTTATGCAGTCAGTAATACGGAAAGTGTGGTAAGAAAAGTATATTTTGAAATTTTTTAAATTCCCCCACTTACGAACAACCCTTTGGAACGGAATTAGTTCGTAAGTCGGGGGATACCTGTATTCGGTTTATTCTGCTTTCAATTGGCTTAGTGAAACTACTTTTTTTGTTATTGGATCATCAGAAAAACACGAAAATAAACTTAAATCAATAAACTCCTCATCAATAAATCATAACGAAAAAAACTCAATTGAGGCATCGTTCATTTTTCTTTGAATTCTTCAAAGCAATTTCAACTACATTTAATAATGCAGATTTGTTTGAAGTAAAAATAGGAATGTTTTAAAATTGTATACAATTGTATCATAATTCAACTAATGAAATTGCAATTAAATAAGCTCATTTATTTCTATATATTAGGTTTTGTGTGCTTTCAATTAGTTTAATGAAACAGTGTTCGCAGTATTCATATAAATAACTAGAAATTATGTAGAAATTATTTCATCATTTTATTCTAGGAATGTTTGCAGCCTAAATGAAAACGTTAATTATTATTATTAAAAACAAAGAGAATAAAATCACTTTTATAAATATGCATAAATTTCACTGAGAAACAAACAACCTATTTATTGACTTTCATATAAAACATTTTTTCTGTTGGTTTTCCTGATAGGAAGTGAAACAGATTTCGTCTTTTCTATAAACGAAATTGCGTTTAATTTGTTATACACACAAGGAAAGTTGGTAAGGAAATCCATCCAAATCCGTAATTATCAAAGAAATGCGAGGAAGTGGAAATGCGGGAAAGTTTTCTAAACGCATAGGACTTCCTGGAAAATGATAACTTTTGTAAGACATGCAATCATTATTAATTTATGATTGTATATTAGAAGCAAAATTGAACATTTAATAGGTTAAAATTGTTGTTTTTTTTTGTAACAATGTGAACATTTTAAACATAATAATGTAATAAATAAATATTGTTGCAATGGAAATATTGGAATGAAAGTGTTATTATTGGATTATTGAGACTGAATCCAATATTGTTGTGTTGCGACCATTCAAATGTATTTAAACAAGCGATTTCACATTCGGAATTTGTAAATTTCCGAACGTGGATGTGTTAATCAACTGCGTGCATTGTGTTATTTAATTGCATCTTTTATGGATTGGATGCATCTATAGTTAAAGGTGTTTTATTGCGAAATTCTAGTTATTAATGTAATTAATGAATAGCGTTAAAAAGTAGTAGCGTTTAAAAAAAGGAAAGTTAAACGAATCGATGTTTATTGAAGCTTCTTCATACTTTCGTTGAAATTTATTGAAGTTAATATGTCGATTTGGTAATGCACGTTGTTATTGTATTTATAATAAGTGTGTTTAGATTAAAACTATTTGATTAAATGTGTATGTTACTAAAGTGAATTGAAATGTTATGAAAACGGTGCGATTGTTCTTCTGTGCGAGGCGGATTATTAAACATATTTATGTCATCTTATCGTGCGAACAAAACGAAAGCAAAATCCCATTGAAATCCTCTATGTGGGAGTGGTTTCTGGGTCATCGGATTTATTGTGTATATGAATGCAAGAAGGGTCCAACTTATATGTAAACAAAAAGGAATATTGTTTGGAGGAGGAAGAACGGTAAAGCCTCGGAACGTATTTGGTAGACCATGTGTGGGACGAACGCGATGGATGGATGCTAGGTGTCCAATGGGTCAGTAAAGTGTGTCAATTACGTGCGGAAAAATTTATTTAGCTGTTAAAGGACGTAGGTTGTCCATCGCCACACACGCGCATATTCGTAAAACGATTCCAGTTTTTCCACTCCGCCAAACCCGTATCGGTTTTCTTCAAGAGTACAACATCCACAAAATACCGTTCCCGCGAACGCATTTGGATGCTTCTCGAAATCGTATTTATAGCCTTTGTTCTAACCGGTGTATGGTTCCCATTAGAATTTAAATAGCTCAGGTTATTGTACGATAAAGTTTTTGGTACTTTACAATAAAACATTTTGTAATAAGTAAATATTTTTTGTTTAAAAATA